GACGATGGGAATGCTATCAAATATCGTTGAACGATCAACCACAATCAAGGGTACAGCTGCGGGGATGACTCTTGTAGCCAAAATTCTTGGTAGCCATTTTTGAATTTGATTTTTATTTCCTCGTTCGTTGTCAGTTCTATAAGTTCTTCTTCCAGTTGGGGTGATGCTGCTATGTTGACATTTGAAAAAGGATCTAACATCCAGTCTGGTATTTACAATTTCAAAATGTTCTGGAATCTTTCAATGAAATCACTGTGGAGATTTTCCAAATGTTGGCAGTAGACAAGCAAGTCGTCGTTGTTGCAGGATACTGATAAATTGAAAAAATTGTGGAACTCGCGTCTGCCGATATTCTTCTTGTGCAGCAGCTTGGCTACGAAAGCAGCGACGTAATTTTTTTTATTAAGTTCAAGTCGTCCCCTTGAAGTTGGAGATTCATATCATTAAGCAATTTATAAAGATCTGTCAGGTATGCGATATCATTGTTTGATGTGTGAAGTTGTCGTGCAATTCTGTGTCTTTGTTTTCCAATAACTCTACGACAGAGTCAAAGAGATTGTAAAATCATGTCAGATAATTTCCTTTTGATAGCCAACGCACTTCTGTGTAAAAGATCAATCGGTTAAAATCTTCATCATTACTAACACAAAGCTGATTAAATAATCTGTAATTTAAAGAGTTGTTTCGGATTTTATTGAGTACACTGATGACGTGTTGCAGTGATTGAAACGGTCGTTTACTTAAATTTCTAGCAACCAAATGTTGTTGATGCATAACGAAAAGCAAGCACATCTGGAATTTTGTTTTTTAAGTACGCTATGAAGCCTTTTTGACACCCCGTCATAACTAGAGCACCATCTGTACCATCTGATCTGGGAACACGGCAGTGCCCCCGCCAAGTCGAGAAAAAAGCGGCACGGCCGTACCATCCTTTTCTCGAAGCAGTTCAAGCCATTTTCGACCCCCTCTAACTTCGATGTGGATAAAATTAGAAGCCTGAATTTTCAGTAACCAAGCATGCATTGTATAGACACGGTATGTTGCAAATTTCATTCAATTTGAACCAGTAGTTTAAGAATTATAATTAGTCAAAGTTTCTTAATTTTGTCACTCACTGACTGAGCGATCATCAAACTCTAAGGCCTGAATTCCTCCTACGCTGACGTCGGTCGCGTACGTCGGTCGCATACGTCGGTCGCGTACGTCGGTCGCGCGTATTAATGTTCATTGTGTTCTATACAGTCCCAAACTACGACGCTGATGACAGCGGCGCGTAGTTTGCTACGTTCGCGTACGCGACCGACCGTACGCAACCGACGTCAGCGTAGGAGGAATTTAGGCCTAAGGCACTTCTAGGAGACGTAGAAGTTTCAAATTTAGAATACAATTAGTGGTTAGTGTATAAATCAAGGAAAAACTAAAATATTTTGTAGTTTTGGTCCAGTTTTCTATATACACTAACTGCAAAAATAACCTTGTAATCCGATATAAATATATAGGATTACAAAGTTATATTTGCAGTGAATGAATCAGTGTACCTGTATATGTATAATATAATAGAATAATAGGAGTACCTAGATATAATTATGTTCAAAGGTAACTTGTAAAATGGTCAACGTAATGACAAAGCAAGAATGGGACATGTCTTATGTTGTCTCAAAATCCCGCAAAGTATTAAGTAGACTAAATTGCCCGAAAATCCGTAGTTGGTATTCAAGAAGTAGATGGTACCGGAAAGGGAAAAAAGTAGGACTATCTACAAAAAAAAATGAGATGCCATCAAAAACATTACTTGTATTCATTCATTATACGTTCTTTATACGTGGTAGAGCCATGTTGCAGCTATATTAATAGTATAGTCGTAGCACGAATGGGTCGGCTCGACCGGGACAGGACCACACTCTCACAGAATTCCAGCGTAAAATAGCAGCTTAATGCTTCTGTGTTTCGTATGGTGAGTGTAGAGAACCGGAGACCCTTTTACTGGAAAAGAGGCATTCTATCTTAGTCCTCATGGCTGATAACGCATCTGCATTTTAATTTGTAAGCAAAGATAGATGTAGATAGATGTCTATGGGCCGCAGCAACCACTTACCATCAGGTGGACTGTGTGCTCGTTTGTCACCCTTATTCTATAAAAAAAATAAACATAGTCATGTATTCTATTATGACAAGTAGTCTTCCAGACCCAAGAATGCACATTCAAGGGTTACTTTGTTTTTCCTAAATAAATGAAAGCCGTGGGTGGTGGCGTAAGATAATCAGGCAAATCTTCCCCGCTACGGGAGAGCCATATATCCTTCTGTGAACCTCGATAGACTGATGTTTGCTATGATGATTTTTTTTATAGGAGAGGGGGCAAACGAGCATGCGGCTCACCTGATGGTAAGTGACTACCGCCGCCCATGAACAACCGCAACACCAGGGGAATTGCAGATGCGTTGCCGGCCTTTTAAAAAGGAGTAGGCTACGATGATGATGATGATGATAATCTAATTATTGAAATAAATACATTTGCTTTATTTATTTTACTGGGTATTGCATTCCATATTATAATATTGTACTGAGAATTTAAAAATTTAAGATAAGAAACTTCATGGAATTTCAATCTTAAAAAATGGTATGTTACAACGAGCCCAAAAGGGTACAGGACTGATTCTGAAGCGCCGGACAACGTCCCAGCCTTGTCGGGCGCGCCAGACGGTGTAGCATAAGTTGCTTTGTGTACAATGTCCGTGCTGTTTATTATCCCCGTCTCGCCTGTATCTCATATGTGGCACAGACCGGTCCGGCCTATCTATTTTCTATATTTTATACATGCATCTCAGATTATAGAACTAATTAAGCACTTACTATTTATAACTTATAACAGGTTTATGAGCTAAATGGATAGCAGTTTTGTAATGGAAATACAAGAAATACGAATTTAGTTCTTATATTACGTTTACTTTGGTACTTACGGAGATGCTAATTTGCGAGTAAAATCTTTGGAGAATGTGGCGTAGAAGCGTGCGTAAGTGTGAGCGTGCGGGCGTGCAGGCTTGCGGGCGTGCGTAATAAATAATGTTATAAATTGAAATTCATGATTTTTAAAATGTTTGTGATTCTTTTTGGCACTTTTAGCCGTGAAAAGAAAAGAGGAGATCTCCCAATGGGCAGACGTCCAGTCCCGGGGAGCGTCTACGTTCCATGCGGTGGTACACATTGTGTTCTGTATAACATCCAGAGTACCTAAGTAGTTCGGAAACTTATTAATATAACGTGATTTAGGCTTCTGTTTGTTTTTAATAACTTGACGTCACTTATCGGATCCTAAAATAGCTGTGAACCATCGTTTGACAAGAAAAATAAATTGTGCCAACATGGCTTAAATCGGTCAAGTCGTTTAGTAGTTACATGATCACAATTTCTTTATTTCATAATAGATGCAGCATAACTAAACTAATTATAAAAGTTAAGTGCTAGTGCTTGAATATGATCCTGGTCGATATTGAATATGATAATAAGTTGTTATACAGTCTTGGGTGCTACAAAACCAAGTTAAGTAACCTAACCTGCCACTCTTCCTTTTAACTTCGACTCTATCTTTACTATTTATGAGTATGTTTAATGTTACGTATTTGTGTTAATTGTTGTATAAGCGAAAAATAATATATTAGTTTCGGTAAGCGCAAACACTTTTCACTTACAATTGCGTCTTAATCAAATCTGAAGCTACCCTCACTTTAAAAGAGATTAATCGCTTGACTAAATGAAATCTTGTCTTTTTATTTATTAGGTTACTGTGGGGTTACCAACTATTTTAAAGTAAACAACGATTGTAAAATAAAACATGTGCTATCTAGATCGAAAAATAAGGATATTTCATATATTTGATTATCTTTTTTTTTTAATAATCTTTTTTTTCTTTACGACCTCCTAATCATTTGATAATTTGCAAGCTTAAAATATTTCTCTAGGGTAGTCTAACCTTGGCGGAGTAGTCAGCGCAGACGGAACTAATATCGTCACATTTTTCTATACGTGGTAGAGCCATTTTACAACTTTATTGTGGTAGCTTTATATAAGAGGTAGGTTCGATCAGCGAAGGACCACGTTCTTATAAAATACTAACGTAAAATAGCATCTTTGCTGCTGTGTTTTGTATGGTGATTGTACAGAATCGGAGACCCTTTTTACTGGAAACGTGGCATTCTATCAACCTTTTACGTGGTAGAGCCATGCTACAGCTATATTTTACGTGGTAGAGCCATGCTGCAGCTATATTAGTAGTATAGTTGTAGCACGAATGGGTCGGCTCGACCGGGGCAGGACCACGCTCTCACAGAATACCAGCGTAATATAGCAGCTTAACGCTGCTGTGTTTCGTATGTTGAGTGTAGAGAACCGGAGACCCTTTTTACTGGAAATGAGGCATTCCATCTTAGTCCTCACGGGTGACAAATTTTAATTTGTAATAGAGAATAGATGTAGATGTCTATGGGCCGCAGCAACCACTTACCATCAGGTGGACTGTGTGCTCGTTTGTCACCCTTATTCTATATTAAAAAAATGTACCCAGGGGTGAAATAAATCGTCATTGATGATTTTTTTAGTAATCTAAATGACGCAACATTATTAGATTCCATTCAGGTGAATTTGTGACAATATTTTGAAGATAACAACTCTTAAGTGTACATGCGCATAATTTTTTTGCAAGAACTGTAATTGTTCCTTTTTGAGAAATAAACACCTTATCAAACCTATCCACTTTCTACATCTCCTCCATTGGCCTGTAACGCGTAGCCCTCCGTGGTTAAGAAAAAATGGATTCTCTCTTTCTTTTAGATAAATAATCTTCTGTGAACTACGATTAATTTGGTAAAGTTAAGATTACTGTGTGCACTTACGACAGTAAAATATTTTGAGCTAGTGGTAAACACTTCATCAGGTGATTTGCTACAAAACAATCGAGAAGACTTTTGAAACCATAAAATAATTTTGAAATTATATTGTTTCAGATCGGTTGCGGCTTCTCTCATTATATGGCTCGTCTGTGGTTTACTATCTACATTGGGCGCTCTATGCTATGCGGAGCTCGGAACTTCCATTACGAGATCTGGTGGTGATTACGCCTACATTTATACCGCGTTTGGTCCGTTGCCGGCTTTCCTCAGGCTCTGGATAGCTTTGCTCATTATTAGGCCCACAACACAAGCTATTGTCGCCCTGACCTTCGGACATTACGTCGTGAAGCCTTTCTTCCCAGAGTGTGATCCACCCCAGGATGCTGTCAAGCTACTTGCTGCTGTTTGTTTATGTGAGTTTTTTTTAATTACATGTTATATGTTTGCTATTATTCATAATTTATAATGACCCCTTTGTTATTAGTTAATCTAATAACTTTTGCTATCAACTTCATTGTTACACCCATAATTGTAAAAGTTAAATATTTTTTAACACCTGCAAACAACCTCAAACAAATAAAGATAGATGCTTTGTCATCGCTGATCTAAGATAAATAACTATATGTCTAAGTCGCTGATTATTAAGATGAAATTAATTGTAGCTTAGTATGTTAATACATATGCTGCACTAAAAGTATCGGGAATGGAATATTTCCACTGTTCCTGTCATATTAAAATCTTTTTAATTAAGAAGTCCTTGGTTTTAAAAATCGAATACCATTTATTTATTTAAAAAAAGATTCTCGGTCTTGTCACAAGGTTTTGTCAAACTTGTTTAGTCGTTGAGAAAATGGAATTGACCCGAGAAAATTCAAGAGCGATGATTTATTATGACTTTCGAAGTGGTTTAACACAAAAACAGTGAGTTGACTGGATGATTTCTGCATTTGGTGATGAAGCCCCATCCAAAACCACAATTTATTGCTGGTTTGCTGAATTTCAACGTGGACGTGTCAAGCTCAGTGATGATCCCCGTCAAGGTCGTCCAAAAACTGCAGTCACCCAAGAAAACGTTGATGCTGTGCGTAAGCTGATTGAGGAAGATCGACATGTGATATACCGCGAAATTCAGGCAACTTTAGACATTGGCATGAGTCAAATACAAATAATCTTGCATGAACAATTAGGTGTAAAAAAGTTGTTTTCCCGATGGATACCGCATTCGCTCTGTGAAGAGCAAAAAGCGGCTCGCGTTACTTGGTGCGTCAGAACTCTCGAAAGATTCCACGCAGGATCCTCAAATGCTGTATACAACATCGTATCAGGTAACGAATCCTGGATATATGCGTACGAACCCGAAACAAAAAAACCAGTCACGAGTTTGGGTGTTCGAAAATGAGTTAAAGCCAACAAAAATTGTTCTTTCACGGAGTGTTGCAAAAAAAATAGTGGCCACGTTTGTCTCCAAAACCGGCCATGTTACGACTATTCCTCTTGATGGACAAAGAACGATTAATGCAGAATGGTATGCTAGCATTTGTTTGCCACAGGTCGTTTCTGAACTCCGTAAAGAGAACTGCAACCGCCGCATCATCCTCCTCCATCACGACAATGCGAGTTCTCACACCGCACACAGAACAAAAGAGTTTTTAGAGCAAGAAAACATAGAATTATTAGACCATCCGCCGTACAGCCCCGACCTAAGCCCTAATGATTTCTATACTTTCCCTAAAATAAAGAATAAATTGCGTGGACAGAGATTTTCATCACCTGAAGAAGCTGTGGACGCCTACAGAACGGCCATTTTGGAGACCCCAACTTCCGAATGGAATGGTTGCTTCAATGATTGGTTCCATCGTATGAAAAAATGTGTCAAATTTCGCGGAGAATACTTCGAAAAGCAATAAATACATTTTTAAATAGTAATGTTGTGTCACTTCCTTGATTCCCGCAATTTTCAGTGCCCTCGTATACTGTACTCTTTTACGCTTGAAACACATCAGAAACGTAAGTGGGTGTCTACCAAACCAATTAGCAATCCTAGAACCTTTTAAAATTATATATTTTAATTATTGTATAGAAAATTTCCTCATATAACGCACAGCGTTGTTAAAGGCCTCGTCTTATTTTTATTAGAAGATATTTTTGGAGCAAGAAAGAAGCCATTGCGCTTTCCCAAAGCGTGTTTAAGGACTTCCAAAAGTCCTTGAAATATTTTTAATTTCTCAGACACAGATTTGTTCACGATGTGTTTATTTAGCGTCGTGCAGGTGGTAAATAAAAGAATAAATGCAATTAACAATTTAATTGGTGCCGGCGGGGATCGAGTTGAGTTTACTCGCGTATTATAATATTTGACGTTGAGCGCTTATCAACTGAGCTCCCGCTTCCTATTCACCTATAAATAGAATTTATATCAAGTAAGTTATTAAACAATTAACATACAGATTCATTCATCATTCATTCATTCCATCTTTGTGGCTAGCTTTGGAGGAGGTCCCAAGGAATGCCACAAAGCCCCGTCCTGAGCCACTTGCATCTATCGACTTCCTGCATATCTTACCAGAGTAACCAACATAGTCCAACGGATTAGTAAGCTGAAGTAGTAATAGGCTGGCCATATAGCTCAAAGAACCAACAACCGATGGGGAAGAAAGGTTCTCGAGTGGTGGCCTCGCACCGGTAGACGAAGTGCAGTGCGGCCCCCACCTAGATGGAGTGACGACCTGGTATACAGGTTATTACGTATACAAGGAAATCTGTCAAACTGTAGACGAATGTCATTAATATTAAAATGACTGGTTATTGTGCTAGTGCAATGTGTCTTGATTTATGTCAACTGATATGTTCAATTGTTCCAAAGTTACACCTGAGTAAATAACCTTGTATTTGTACAATGTTGTTTTTTATAACAGAATTTCACGTGACATAGAGTCTAGCATTTTTTTTTGCTGCTTTGATTAAATCAATACAGACGTACGATGGATCGTGGAAATATATTTTGAAGCGTATTGGGAGTAGGAACGTATGCGATTTTAATTAGGGACTTCCAGGTCATAGACTTAGCCGTCTTCGAAGGAAATGTCGTAATCGCCACGCTTGGCAAGTGAATTAGTGATCCATAATTCAGACGCTTCATACTTAAGGCGCAGTTCCTCGACACGAGTTCATATAAATCAGACTGGAATTTTTAGAGTTCAGTTGCCGATATGAATACTATAAACCTTTATAAAATTGATTCCGTCTGTATATTCTAACGGTTCACAGCATCATACTTTCTAGTTTTTTTTTTTTATGTAGGCCCTTTTCATAAAATTTTATAGGATTCAGCATTATGTAAAATAATAGATCTGGATGTTTTTTTACTTATTTATTCAATTTTAACAGATCAGTCTTAGTCACTTAATAGCGTCTAATGCCGCCAACTTGCTCGCTTCCTCTCTAGTTACAATAACATTTGAAATAAGTACTTTTTTATTATGTGATTAATTATGTGACTATAATTACTTTTAAAATGTTTAAATATTAAACATTTTAAAAGTAATAAATTTATCTTTATAATTCTTAACCGTTAGAAATAAAAACTGAGTCTCAACTACTTTAATACAGGAAATAGCCATAATGTTGATGATGAGCAATGACATGACAAAGACAATTAATCGTTTAGAAACTTGACATAAAAATGAATACATATTGATAATCTAACAATTAAGAATAAAATATTATACAAATATTAGATGGCGCAGTAGCATATTGGTTAAGCATTTGGCTGCGGCGCTGCGTATATGAATCCCGCACGGAACAAATGTTTATATGGCCTACAAATAATTAATATGTGTCCTTGTTAAATATAATATGTAAGTAAACTTCTCTACGCTAAAGGTAAAAGATCTTGTACACGTTTTAAAAAAAAGCTTAGTAAAGAAATATATTTCCATATTCTTAAAATTTTCTTAAATGCTAAATCCAAATCTCACAGACTGGTAACTAGGCCCACCTATCTTCCTGCTTAGTATAGTGAGTAAGGGCATAAAGTTCCAGTCAATGCTTGGCAGCTGACGCATTTGTAGTATGTCCTGTGGACAAAAAAATGTATTAATAATTACGATATTATTTTCAATTTACTTTACGCAGGAATTACACACTTTAATTCCTCCCTCTCTTTTCCACCATCGGACAACCAAACGGTCAGCGGGTTTTCATCGCTTTGTTGTCGATATTCCACGCATTAGAACCAAACTGTTTGCTTTATTCGTCTTTTGTAATGCGTACAGCAAAGGAGTGGAATAATTTGCCGGCGTCTATCTTTCCGTCCGAATACAATCTGGGCGTCTTCAAGGCAAGAGTGAATAGGCTTTTGTACGATAAGACAGTGCGATTTACCATCTAAGACTGCATCACCACTTATCACCAGGTGGGATTGCGGTCAAGCACTGGCTTATAATAAGTACAAAAAAAACGTACATATATGGGATGCAATATTTTTTGGCTTTCTTTAGAAAAGTCTTAAAATAATTATGACTTTCAATAAATTTATCAATAATATTAAGCAATTAGATTTGGTTTTGGAAATATTGAATAATAGTACTGGAATTCTTAAAAAAAATATGTAATGTTACTAAAAATGTGATTAAAACCTAAAAGATAGTTCTTACTAAATGCTTTCGAAGCAGATCACACCACATATCTTATAATTTTACACAAGAGATTTGCATTCTGTACTACGGAACCCGCCCTTCGAATGTTCTAATACGTGCTCGGCCTATTTGAACCGAGTTTAAAAAACGAGAAGTTTCTATATTTGGTGCGTCAGTTTATTTTTCACAGTAATTTTGTGTACATATCAAAGAAATATGAAAAAACATAACAAACATTCTTAAAATAAATGTTAGTATGTTTAATCATTGTTCGTTTACAATTTGGATATTATGGTAAAGTGTATACTATTGTTGTACTATGTTAAATACTATATTGGTGGTAACAAAGACCACAATTGTTTGAGCTTTTAGTAAAAAACGTCATGTAAAAATTTACAGCTTGGTAATAAAATCAGCATTACTTTGAGAAGATATCGACTTTTCGCATCCGAGCTTTGCTCAGAGAAAGAAAAAAATATAATTTATTCAGGGATCTCATTCTCACCCATCTAGACAAAACTGGATAGTAAAACATTATTTAGTTACAAAATTTTATTCAAGTTAAGAGAACCGTTTCCGAGAAACCAATTACATACGTATTATAATATGTACATATTATAACAAAATTAGCTTGCTTAAAGGATGAGAAATCATTTTTTATAGGATAGGGTGACAAACGAGCACACAGTCCACTTGATGGTAAGTGGTTGCTGTGACCCATAGACATCTATCCTCAATAAAGGATCAAAATGCAGATGCGTTGTCACCCGTGAGGA